GCGCTGCGTCACCGGGGCTGGCAGCTTCGCGCTTCACGGGGAACAGTTCAGAGTGGAAATTGTCCACTGATGTCCTCACAGCAGGTCTGAGCAGTAAGGCAGGAAGGTGCCTGTTGCTTTTTTTTTTCTGGGTTTGGAATTGCAGGTAGGTTATTCCAAGGCCTGGCCCAGGAATTAGCAAGACTGAGCAGGTTCAGAAGTGCTTGCAGTTTTGGCGTGTATAACATGAGTATGCAACAACAGAGCTGGAAACAAAGTGACTGGTGGCTTCGGTTTTGGCACACACAGTCATTTATGTGTCTTGATTACATCCTTGACTTTCTAATTACTCACCCAAGATGGAAAGACAGGAGAATTGTTGGGACTTTGATGTAACTGCTTGCCAAGCGAACCTTTCCTGGTTTGCGCTGAGAGTCGTGCTCAGCACTTTCACCTGCGTGGCTCCCAAGATATTTGCTTGGATTGGGAAGTGCAGGATGCGCTTTACAAGAGAGCATCAGTCCTGCTCTCGGCTCTGGCTGGAGGAACAAGTCCCCTGCTCCTCCAGACATCACTCTCTGGGTCTGGAAGGGGGAACAAGGGCAGCTCTGAGCTCTGGGGTCCTGGATACGCGGCTGTTCTGCTGCCAGCTGTCCTCTTCTGCTCTTGGGAAGACCAGGCTGTTCCTGTGTAATAAAATAAAGGTCGAATGAGCAGGTAGCGTTGCACAGCCAGGCTGGGTCCCAGCAGCAGCCCATCAGGCTGCCACCACCGCTGTGCTGGGAGAGGCTCTTGTCCAAAGGGGAGCCGGCAATGTAGGGACAGGTCTAAAGCACGTATCCTAAAAACTCCAAAGTATTGAAAGACTTTTGCTTTGTGCCTGCGTCGTTCCTCTTGGGACTGTTGCTAGTGATGGCAGAGCAGTTGCGCTGTAAAAAGAGGCGGTGGAAATGCATTTCAGAGTGGAAACTTTACACTCTCCCTCACCTGCTGCTGCTCAGAGCCAGATGTTGCCATGTGCGCAACCACGTGTTCATGCCTGATGTGTCTTAATGCCTCCCTTGTGTTCCCCCTCTGTCTCCCCAGAACATCAACGCAGCTCAGTCCAGCTTCTTACCGGAGAAAGAAAAGCAGGAACTGCTGGACACACTGTATGAAGCCTATGGGATGGTCCCCAGCGCATCGTGACCCATCCCTGCGAGCCAGCGTGCAGCGGTGGCCCTTCTTCATGCGTGCTTGACTCTCCTCTGTGCTAGTGGGAGCACCGGGAGAAGGTGCCCGGAGCTGGTGTCTATGACTGGCACCCCTGTGTTAACCCTTACCGTGCTAACCAGAATCAGGCTATCACATACACCTACCTATTGCCCCAGCAAACTGTCTCCCAAATGGATATCCAGCTTCCTATCTTGCTGTTGTGCAAGCAGACCAAAACTGCCTCCTGGCCTGACTCCCTCCTCCATCTGCCAGGGTTTCTGTACTGCAGATGAGAACAGAAGAACCTCCCCCCTCTTCCCCTGCTTTATCTGTCCTGCCCCGCTGATGTGCCTAGCCCGTGTCTGCAGCGCAGAAATAACCACCTTTAACTGTGACTGTGGCCTGGGTTAATCTTCACCTTTCTAGGAAAAGGTGTGTTAGTGCTGGCAGGGAATGAGCAGGCATTTCGGAATCAGAGGCTTTATTACCATCCCTGTGGGCAGAGAGATTTGTTCACAGCCATGTTTACCAAGGGTTAGTCTTGTACTAACAAGACTGGAAGAAGAGCAAGCTGGAAGCTGATGCTCTTGCCTGTGCATAGGTCTGAAGGACTTTTAAAAAAAAAAAAAAAACAAAAAAACAAAAAACAATTTTTTTTTAACTTTCTTTCTGGGATAAGGACTCCCATGTATCGGGCTCCCAACGTCCCTGCTGCAGAAGCGCGCATGTTGGGCTCAGGCTCCAGCTGTGCTCACAGCTGGCCATGATCGTGCTCACATGTGCATAGGAAGTTGGAACATGATTTTACCATTTTGGGCCAAAATTTGCCTTCTGGGACTTTTCCCAGTTTTGTACTCATGCTGGAGAATTCCTGTGAACTGCAGTTTGCTCTTCCTCTATCTTTGTTTAGGACTTGGAAAAAACATGATTGATCCCCTGTTTTAACCATCTGCTCTCCACTTGACGTAATCTTTAGACATTTAAAACTAAGTAAGTAAATTAATAAGCTAGGGCCCAATGTCACATGTTGACTCGGGTCCCATCCGAATCAATTCTCTCGCTCATCCACAACACTGGCTAGAAGTCAGATCTTCAGTTTGGTGGAGAATTTATACAGAAATACTCACCAAAATTTCTAAGCAGTTTTGGTGTATCATAGTATTTTTACTAAGTATGCAGTAGAGCCGTGCATCCAGAGAACAGACCATCATTTTCTTACGTGAGTGCGTGGTGTGCGTTAGCATCCCAGGTGTCTGCCAAGATGCTTGCTCCAAAGATACTATACCAAAAAGTTGCCTTTGACAGGGGGCCGTGGTCACCGTTACAACGGACAGCGTGTGAGGCTGCTCCAGTCTCAGCCAACAGCAACCGTGTCCTGGGAGTATTTCCATTCTTTCTGGGCTTCTTCTGAGTAAAAAACTCATCTCTTAAGTACATGGTGCATATATATGCCTATATATATATATAGCTAGCTAGATGGATATGAGAGAGTGAATTTCTTACTTTTATAAAGCAAATGATAAAGCATCACTTTTAAGAACATGACTGCAGTAAGAACCAGGCTTTTTTGGATAATTTTTCTCCAAAAACTGTTTCTGAAAGAGAGTTGCTTGTTTGGATTCTGGACAGTTGATTGTTAATCCTGTTTAATAAAATAACAAATTTATATTAAATGGTAAATCCTTTTGCCTTTCTGTTCAAGGGTGATTGCTAGGAACCGTGGTCCGTGTCCCACAAGGTGAGCCATCGGGGCTTTGGCAGCCCGATCCCTGCCTTCTCCTGTTGCCAGGTCGGAGTGCTTTGCCACCAGGGAAGGTGCCCTGCTCACTTGCTAGACAGGCAAGTTGGATTTATGGGTGCAGGTTGATCCAACCTCACGTGTCCTTTTCCCTTCGGTAATCAAAGGGACGTGTGTCTCAGTGCTGGAAGCGGCAGCACTATCATCGCGTACTCTACTTTTGCTGGTGTGTATCAAAAATAGTTTACAATATTTTTTCCCCCCGTCTCCTGAGTTTTGCAGTGTCAGTGGATGCTAAGAGCCCGGAGGGGTGCAGCCTGGGCTGCCTGGCTGTTGGACTGCACTGTCGGCTCGGGCAGGGGAGTGCTTGCTGAAAGACTTTCCGATCATTTAGTACTCGGTTAGAGTTCCGGGAGGTCCAGCATGCCCCTATGTTCAACTCAAATGGAGGGCTTGGAGCATCTGTGTGCTCAGTAACTTTGCAAGTCAGGATGTGGCTGGATTAAGCCGGTGCCCTTGGTCTTTCAGCACAATTGGTGACAGCAGCTGAGCTGGCTCTTTCTCTTGCGGGGGGAACCTGATGCCTCTCGCCTGTCCTCTGAAGGTAGCTGGCCAACAGCTCCCTAATCATCTGCCTAAATATAATGCTAGAACAGATATTTTCTGACCAGGGAGACCTAAGATTAGCCTGCATTTGACTGCTGGAGGTCTTGCTTGGTGCACAGTCCCTGTGCACCACCTCTCAGTGTTCTCTGTGTGTGTCAGCGTGAGCCAAAAATACCGTTTGGTGACAGTGAGGAGAGCTGGAAATGGGGCTTAAAGACCCAACTGTGCGGTCAGCCAACCCAGGAGCTACCTGCTGTTTTGCCCTGAGCATGGGGAAATGGGAGCAAGCTCTTGGCCGCCATCCGGGCCCGGAGCTGCAATAGTATCCAGGCAGCTCCGGGAGCCGAGCTGGGTTGCAGCTGCCAAAGCAGCAGATGCAGCCACTACCTGGCTGCCAAATCCTCATTTCCTGTGGGGGGCTGGAGCCATGGACATCTCTGCTGGCCCCATGGCCATCGCTCCTCAGAAGCCCACAGGCAATTCTCCCTCTGTCTGGCAGCCGCTTCTCTACTTATTTATGGCCTTGTTTTCTCTCATAAATCTCAAACTCGTAACATTCAGTTCTTTCCTAGGCTGTTAGGGGGATGCTTGTCCCTGTGTCACCAGTGGAGAGTATTTCTCAGGCCAGCTTTTCCTTGTCCCCGCGCCGTCCATCGATCCCAACCAAGCTGTAGCTGCCTCCCGCAGCTCCGGCAGGATCGGCTCTGCCCGGGCTGGGTGAGACCCCAGCAATGTCCTCATAGCTCTGTGCTGCAGAGGGAAGACGCCTCTTCCCACCAGCACTTCTTCTGCTGGTGTCTGGGCCACTCCGCCAAGCCTCAAGCCAGCCTTGACTTCTGGGGCCGTAACGTGGAGGGGAGCAGGGCTGCCACGGGTGGATGAAACACCCGTGGGAAAAGCGCTGCCTGGCAGCAAGCCTGCGAAAGCAGGGGCTGACATTTTGCATTTTCTGTGTCCAACTACGTCTGCTTCCACCTGGGTACTGCAAACGTATGGGGTCTCATGGACCCAAAGGGAAGGGACTCTGTCATAACACAGCTCCATATCTCCCTGCTGCAGGGGGGCTGGTGTAACCGCCCTGCAGCTCAACCAGCTACAAGGCAAAACAGGAAGAAGAAACATCCAGGTAGAAAAAAACACCTTCAGTACTCAAAGGCTGTGTTCTTTATTCCAACAGCTTGTATAGTTTTATCAAACCATCTTTAACACAAAACGTCTCCTAAAAGAGAGAATGATGTGAGATCCTACCAGAGATCATCGCAGCTAACAGATTGCAAAGTTAAGCCTGAATTTCAACAGTCAAACGAGCAAAATGTTTCTCCCCTCCCCTTAACATCATCTTAAAATGCTAAACCCCAAAGAAAAAGATGCCTGTGGCTGGTGCTGCTGGATCTGTAGGTGGAGCTCATCCACACAGAGCTGTGCTTTGGTCCTTTCCTGATGCTAAGCGGCAGCAGCACAGGTAAGTGGTGCTGGACATGAAGGCAGCGGGACTGGCTGGGTCCCCTCCCCACTGCCCACCCTGACGAGGGGCCGCATGGACAGTCCAGAGGCCAGGTCGGGTCTAAGATACAGATAAGGGTGAGGCTTAGAAAAACCAATAACCTAAATTTCTAATCTATGGAAACAGAATAAATAATAGTCTAACTTTGCAAAGGAGGAAGGTACCTTGGACAGGAGTGACTGATGTGTCTATTATTACTGAAATTGTGTTTTCCCCTAGGGGAAAATTGCAGCTAAGGCATCTTGAGAATGGCTCATATCACTACAACCACGGCAGTGTTGCTCTAATTCGTTAGGGATGGGAGCAGAAGTCTTTTGGAGGTGCCAGTCCTTGCACAGCATCTTGTGGCTCTCTAAACAAAAATGGTTGCAGCAGAGGCATTTGACAGACAACTTGCTGTTCCACGTTGGCTTTTGTCCACAGATTCAATCGCAAATTCTTGTTTCATGTTCACAGCAAGGCCCTCCTCCTGCCCATCCCACCCTGCACACTGTCATGGGGAGGGGCTGTTTTCTTGCCCCTTTGGTCTTGTTCCAAGGTCGTTCTCAGAAGAAGTGGCATCTCTTTGGCTTTCTGCAGAAAGGAGGATTGGGAAGAAAGCATGGTTACACTCTGCTGAGGACACAAGCCATCAGTAATTACTACAGCTGATTTTATTCAGATTGCAACCTGAAGACCTATCGCTGCCCTCCTCAGGCCAGATATTCAGCTTAAGAATATTGGGTTCTCCCTTCACGTTCTTGGAGTTCAATGGCTTCTCAACAGGTCTGGTGGTGCTGGGAGGGAGCCTCGGGGCAGGGCTGTGCTCTCCTTGTCTGACCTGTAGCAGCAACTTGCAAGCGCTCCAGGAATATCTGCCCGACAGCCCGGCAGCTACCTGAGCTGCTCTCTGTCAGCAGAGCTCTAATTTGTCCTTTTTGTGGCCGGGTGGATGGACATGTGCCAGTACGGACACGCTGGGGTAATGTGTTTTAAAATATTCTTCTAGTTACAGATTGTATGTTGGAGGAGTGAAAAATGAAAGGGCAAAAAATGAGTTTATCCCCTACGGTGATGCTGTACCTTTTGTGGCTTATTAGTGAAATCGGGCTGGCTGGTTTGCTTGGGCTCTGAACAGAGGATTTATGCTGGTGGTAGTCAGCTGGTTGGCGTGTATTGAGCAGGGTGAAACTGCTGCGTATGGGCTACGGAGGAAGATTTGGAGATGGCTGGTGGTGTTTAGAATTATTTCTGTTGTTATTTAAAATACTGTGGAGCTATTTCAAGGCTGATTTTTTTTTTTTTAAAAAGTAAAACAACCAACAAAGAAAAAGCAAACCACAACCTGTCCTACACTTGATTTTTACAAAGCCTAAGATATATCTGATGTGCAGTTTGCCCTGGGGAGGGTGTTGGTCAGTCCGTGTCCTGTTTGAGCAGCAGTGCCTCTACAAACCAGCAAAGGGCCTTGGCTGGAGCGTGCAGGGAATGTGCTGGGAACCCTGGGACCATACTGTTGGTTGCAAAAGCCCCTCAGCCCGGGGAATCTCCCACTAGCTGGGTGACCACCGAGCGTGAAGGCACTGACTGCAGCCAGGAATGGGATCTCCTCCCGAGCATCTGTATGATGCTCCCAGAGACAGCACTGCTCAGCTGCGCTGCCATGTCGTGCCTTGCCCTTCCAGCCTGGGTGCCAGAAGCTGGGCTTACTGGCGTCTGCGGCAGCTCACCTCCTCCTTCAACGGCAAGGTCACCTAGGTCCTCGGTCAGCTTGCGCATGCTGATGGTGGTTGCATCTCGCTGGATGTCATGGACAGCGTTCCTCCGACCAGCCCGATCGCAGGAAATAAAGTCGGTGTACGTACTGGACTCGACCTCCATTGCATCTCCATACACCTGCAAAATGCTGCGGAGAAAACACAGCTGTGAGGTCAAGGATGCTCGGCAAGCCTCGAGTCACGGCTCCCTCCAGGTTAGGTTACTCTGTGGAGTTAAATTACAGCATGAAAAAATCGTCCCTGTAACTCTGCTCTGGCTCCTCTAACACGAGCTACTGAAATCTCAGATATCAACCCAGTCACGTGGGGTGGCGTGTTGGGTGACCCCCCCCGTGTTGGGTGACCCCCCCCCGTGTTGGGTGACCCACCGTGCCGGGTGACCTGTGGCGTCAGGTGACCCCCCCATGTTGGGTGACCCACAGAGCCAGCTGAGGACAGGTAGGCAGGAAGGATCCACCCCAGCTGCCTGACTGGCCCTTGTTCTGTCTTTCCATTGCAAAGCAAGGCAGAGCAGGCGTTTGCCTCTCCTTTTGAGCTTCTGGCCTTCTCCTTTAGGAGCTGCAAAGTTGCTTGCAGAAGCTGTCTCCTACAGAAAAAGTTCTCCTTCCTCCTCAAAATGCCACGGGAGCTTTGAACAGAGGCCAGATTTGGCTCCCCGCGGGGGGTGTGTGTGTGTGTGCTGATCCAACCTGAATTTGTAATGGGAAACTATCAGTCTCCAGTGGAAACCCCCTGGGAAGCTGGGGCAGCAGGGCAGCGTTTAGAGGTGCGGGGCTTTGGATCAGTCCTGGCATCCACTGGCTGTCGGATGTTGCTGAAAAAGTGTTGGGCTGGACTGCTTCGAGACAAGCACTTCAACATGTGAAAATCAGCCCTGCCGCGAGCTGTCTGGATCCCTTCGCTCCAGGCTTGTGTCAGTGCCAAGCGCAGAGCACGAAGAAAGGCTCGGAGCGGCCACTCGTCACCCGCGAGCTCTGCTGCGAGCCAGCTCTTAGCTCAGCCCAAAGAGTCCTTAAGTTGTTGGTTTTCATTTTAGCTGGCAGATTAACTTGTCAGCGTTTGTGCAGCGCGCAGGGTCCAGGGAGCTCAGCAGCTCGGGGAACGTATCGCAGGCGTGCTGGGTCCTGGGCACAGAGCTAGCGAGCACACGCTGCCTCTGCAAAACCTGGAGCTCTGGTTTCCTTCTCCCCTTTAGTCAGTCTCTGTCTGTTTTTCTGGGTGGAAATTAGAGATTAATAGCTGGTTTATCTCCATTTTTGCCCACTAAAAAAAATGCCTTTAGCCCTGCTGGTGTTGTCAATACTAGAAGGAGATCCTGATGAGAAATGCTCGTGTGCAATGAAAAAATTCAATTTCTTGTCATTCACTTGCTTTTGTGTCTTGGAGTTAATGACGTACGGAGACAGTTGCTTCGCCTCCTGTACAAATCCTGCTTAATATCCATCTTCCTACCAGGGAGATCTGCTGGCACACCACCAGCCTGGGCAGGAATCACACTCCTCACTCTGTAATCCCCGATGTTATGGCAGTAGAAAGAAGATGCTGGCGAAGATGCAAACGCCAGGATAAAAGAGGTTAAGTTCTCCCAATTCCTGAGATTGAACAGGGTGCAGTAACCTCAAACTTTCATAAATCCAGTACATTTTTGTAGCCCCAGGGACTCCTCTCTTGTGCTGATGCCGGCTCAGGGAGCGCTGACACTGGCTCACAGGTGGGACGTGGGGCTTGGACCACCCAGACGTCCCAGGAGAACCTGAGTCTCAAAACCCAGTAAATCGTTGCAAACACCCGGCTCCTCCCAAGGCTTGGCATCCATCTAGCTTCTGTGAAATCGGCCCTGGGAAAAGCCGCATCTTTTGCCCTAGGAAGAGATCCCAGCTGTTGTTTTTCCTCCTCTTCCCTCCTTCCTTTCCAGGCTTGCCCTTCCCGAGATGAGGCGCCCGCTCTGGGTGCAGCAGGCTGGCTGATCTCAGTGAGCAAAGCACCTTTTCCCCGGGACAGGACAAGCATCCATCATTCCCAGACAACTCCTCCTCGCAGCTCATCGGAGCCCAGAAGCTGCTGATCTTCTGTAGCTGCTGGCCAGATGTCACACAGACTTGGGAGGCTTCCCTAAGCCTGGGTCCATCTCCACATCAGCGAGGCCAATCCAGACCTGATATGCTCAGGAATCCTGCCCTTGCACCAGGGGCTGGACCACCCGGTTTGCAGGACGGACTCCACAAACTGGGGAGCAGGAGCCGACCAGCCCTGGGACGCAGCGTTTTCCCAGTGTCCCGTGACGTAGCAGCCAACGGTGGATGTGCTCCACGGCGGCAGCGCTGTGCCGAGGGACTAAATGCCCCTTCACATGGGAACAGGATGGGATCTTGATTTAAAAGAAGGGAAGGAACCCAGCGTGCAGAAGCAGGTCGTGCTCGGGGCCGCTTTGGGTCCCGGCTCGGTGGCCGGGAGATGGCGTGTGTGATTTATTTTCCATGGCTGGGAGAGTTCCTGCCTTCGGCTATCCATGCAAAGAGCTGGAGAGAGGCGGATTTATGAGAAAACCTTTCAAATTTGTGTGGTTCCTTCAGGATTTTCCAGGTGGGCAGCTCTCAAAAGCCTTACAAGCAGACCCCTCCCTGCTGACAGAGGCACTCCAGCCTCAGCCTCCGGGAAGATGCTGGACCGAGAAGGTGATGGGAGCAGCTGCCTCAATTTTTGATAGAAAAACCTGGTTTTTCAAAGAGCATTTCCACATTTCCAGGCAGGTGCAAAACAGTTCAGTGGGTTTTTAGTCAGTGGAAACATCTTTTAACATCTGCCAGGGACTAGAAAGGAACCACTTTCCCTGTTGCCCACGTAGTTGAACCTGAAACTGCGTCACCGTGGACAGTCATTTAGCGGTGGCAGGGGGTGCAACAGGGGGTGCATCACCCGCTGGCTCCCCACCTTCATTTTTTCCTACTGCCGTGGGCTGGTGGGGGGAGATGATGTGCCAGCTCTTGCCAGGCATTGCAGCAATTAGCCCACAGCACACAAATACACTGCTCAAAGGGTTTCCAGGGTGCTTCAAAGAGATGATTCAACTTGTCCCCAGAGGGTCGTTCTCTGCCTCCCTTTCCTCCTTGCTGCTGACGGCAACAGAAATGGTCCCTGCACCCTCGGTGCAGCAGGCCAGCCCGTGGGGACAGGGCGGGGGCTGTGTGGCATGGTGACAAAGGCCATGGGCAGGGGCCTGGGACCTGCTGCCAGTTGCAGACTCCTCAAAAGCTTTCTGTGCTGCATCGAGGGAGGCTGTGGCCCCTCCACCATGGGGATGCAATGCTGACTGGCCCAGAGCAGCAGGCCACGAGTGACAAAGCCCCTCGCAAGCTGCCACAGGCACCAAACGTGTCCCCAGAGCCACCTCTGCTTCCCCAGCCTGCTGAAATAACCTGGCTCAGCTGAACCTGTCATTTAGCCTCAACTTCTTTTTCCATAGTGTCTTGCGAGGACTAAAAAATCTGGAGCTGTAATAGTCTTGGCTTTGCTGGCATGGACTCGGCTTCCGGAGCGGTTTTGCTGTCGGACTAAAGCTGGGTTTGCGGCATTTCCCAGAGAAGTCACCCAGCAGCTGACGGAGCAGCTGGCTCTGCTCTGGGGTCTGCAGCTAAACCGGCCCTACCCACCCAGGGCTGAAATGTACCCATTTAGAGGGTGGATGCTAATAAATTACAGGGTTAAATGTTTCTTCTGCCTTTTGGTAGAAGAAACTGGGGCATTCCTTTTGGGTCAGCTGAGTGCCCCTCCTGGTGCCACTGACAAGCCAGCGTTTAATTTCCTTTTTCCCCCTTGCCAGTTTCTCCACAGCACAGATCGCAGGGACTACGAGCAAATAGTTACTGCAAATAATATCAGAGTGGCAGACAGATGACCTGGAAACACCATGGGCAGGTTAAACTCGACACAGGGCCGTGCGCCTGCAGAGCAAACGCAAGCCCTGCGACCCGAGCCAGCAGCCGGGGTCTGACTCCGAGGGATCGGATGGATGTCAGTCACACCCAGCCCCGGACTCCAGTTTCAAGGAAACCCTTCGCACGATATTGCATCTGTCCCTTCTCTAGGTTAAACTGTAAGCTTTTTATGGCTCGGAAGGGCTATTTTTGGACTCTGCACTGATGCTGGCTACCAGCAGGCTGTGCTGAATTCAGCCTGCGTCCCCTCCGCCGCCTGCTTTGCCTCTCCTTTCTGCTCTGCCTCGCTTACCTCTTGCCTTCGTTAGTACTTTCCTCTCCACCTAACCGGCATTTGCAGTGAGTGCAAAGGGTCTCTGGGTCAGAGAAACTCCCTTTCATGTCTGCATGGCATCCGTGGCACTTCTGGGCGTAAGGCAGCTCAGTCCCCTGCTTGGACATCCTTGCCCCGTGGGGCAGCCAGCAGAGCGCTCCTGGGCTGCTGTAAGGAAGGAGGTTCAAAGCTTAAGCAGAGCGGTGGCTTTCCCTGCTTAGCTAAGCCTGGATCATCGCCTGATCCCGCCCTGCTTTCCGTTGGAGACCTCCCTGTTGCCCGGGGGCGAGCGGGGGCAGCTCCCTGCCCGCCGTGCTGCCCCTGGGACACCCGAGGAGGGGAACCCTGGCCCCTGGCCCCGCTGCCGGCCCAGCAGGCAGGCCCGCGGGGCAGG